TTATACATTTCCCGAAGTGCTCTTTTTTTTTTTTTTTTTTTTTTTTTTTTGAAAAAAACGCCCCCTGCAATGCCAGTGGCGCTGATGAAGCAGACACCACTAGCACCCGGGGAGGGGTGTGATGTGATGTGGTTTCTTCTGCCCACTGCACCCATCTGTGTTTGTTGCTACCTGTCTCACCGCCCGCCTCTCGCATCCTTGGTTACTTTGTGATGTGGCTCTTGCCCGGCAGGTTCTGGTGCGGTATAAACTTCCAGTGGTGGTGATTGTCATGAATAATGGGGGAGTGTATGGAGGGGATCGGAGACCAGCGTCGGAGAAAGCCAACGCGTTCGCGTCTGATCCTGCACCGACAGCATTCGTGCCGAACATCAAGTATGAGATGTTGATGGGCGCGTTCGGCGGAAAAGGATACGTCGCATCGACTGTAGACGAGCTGGCCAAGGTTTGCAAAGACGCCTTTGCTGCCCGGGAACCCGCTCTCATAAATGTGATCATTGACCCGTTTGCTGGGACCGAGAGCGGCCAACTTCATGGCATGAATTAATTGCCATTTTCAGGAATGATACATGGAATTCTGGATAATAAAGCTGAATCTGATGATGATCATGATAGTAAGCGTAGGAGAGGTTATGCAGTCTCACCTGTCTGGTCCCTGGCATGCCTGTGTGGGCCCCACCATGATGTCGACTACGAGGGAATACCAAGAGCAGTGAGAGGACAGTATGAAAGCAGTGGGCAGCAGATTCGCGACAGATTTAGGACAGAAATAGGGAGAACGAAGACGCACCGCAAGTTAACACCACCTTGGGACACAGTTTCAAACCGACTTGGGCCCAACTCTGGGACCAACTTTAGAGTCAACATTGGAACCGACTTGGGCCCAACTCTGGGCCCAACTTTTCTTTGGGACAAACTGTGGGTCCAGTTTGAGACCACTTCTTTTTTTTTTTTTTTTGATTGATTGATTGATTGCTGTGGGGGGGGCCCTTCTCCCTCGCGTGCATACAAACACACACACACACCTGTCTCTTATACAAAAAAAAAAAAAAAGAGTCCTGCAGCACTCCGAACAACCGACCATCGACTGTTTAGCACTTCTTAAAGGTGCTCAGTCAGACACACACAAGCTTACAAAACAATCTAGAAAGAGGAAGTACATACCTGAACTGATTGTGTGTGTGTGTGTGTGTGTGTGTGTGTGTGTGTGTGTGTGTGTGTGTGTTTTGAACTGTTATGATCCTGGCTAGTTCTAAGTGCAATGACACTAAGAGAAAGACAATGCCGTTCAATTGCAAATGAAATGAAAGAGCTTGGAAAGAGAAATAGAAAAAGGAAGAAGAAGAATAAAGAACGGAGGAGGAGGAGGAGGAGGAAGAAGAAGAAGAAGAAGAAGAAGAAGATGGACACCTGCAAAGACCAATGTCATATCCCTCTCCAACTCGCCATCTCATGGCAACCTCCTGATCTCCCCCAACCTCTTCATTCAATAGATAATAATGATAATAACAATGAAAGACTGAACCAGAACCGATGTCTGAATCTCGTCCTTACGGGCAGCAACACATGAGGTCCACCATAGCCACGGCCTACACCTTCTACCACCTCTTTCTGGTGGGTGGCTATGGCGGACTAGTGGGGCCTGGGCTACTCGGACCGCCATGCCTATAACTCTGCCCTCAAGGCTTCCCAGAAGCAACGCACCCCCACAAGGGCCTTCCAGGTGCAGCGCCAACCAAGAAGATGAAGATGCCGTCCACCGTAGCCAGGTAAGTACTCCGGCCCTCTCCTCCTAGCCCGCCTTCTTCCTCCTCCTCCTACCTGGGCTGCTCCGCCATAGCTGGAGATGCGAGCGTCCGACCTCCTTCCTCCGCAGCGCGCTGAGGACACCAGCACTCGCTCCCGCAGCGTGACGCTAAACTTGCACTCCGCAAAATGATCGAGAGAGAGCTCATTCCTCTCCTGAAAGATATACCGGGCAGCTTGCCTCTCGGGTGATGGTGACGGTGACTTTCCAGGCTGCTCACCCTCCCCAAGCATCCAGTACCTTCCTCCTTTCGGGGGGAAACAGCATTGCAGGTCTGATATCGTCTAACCTACCAGCTACTAATGTTTTTCCGCGGTCTAACCTACCTTTCCGCGGTCTACAGGCCCTAGACTCAGACTACGGGACTGTTACCTCTAGACCTACCGTCTTCACCCGAATAGAATGCCCAGTCATTATAGCTGCATCTGGGCCGCCTTGCGGTCCAGATACATTGATAACAACCAGGCGTTCTATTCGGGTGAAGACGCTAGGCCTACCGGAGGACTAAAAAATTCACCCGGCCTCTAAAGGTACTAATGTTTTTTGAACCTTTTTGTCCTTTTCTGCCTACCCACCCGCCCGCTACTCGGGAAGTATTTTCTACCTACGCGGTCTAACCTACCCGTTACTAATGTTTTTCCGGATCACGAAGTGTTTTCCACCTGCGCGGGCCTAGCCTACCCGCTACACCCCCCGCTGCAACCCACAAACGCAAGTACCAGCCCCGAGGGCCTCTCAAACATACAAAGCACCCTGGCAGGTCACACGCAGAAACCAGCAAGCACGCACGCACACACACACACACACACACACACACACACACACACACACACGCACACACACACACACACACACACACACACACACACACACACACACACGCGCGCGCGCACGCGCGCGCTTAGAAAACTCTGCAACCAAAAGCGGAAATCTCAGCAAGTCACACATTCCAGCGCCATAACTCAGAAATCAGCAGAGTTCTGAGTCTGTGATTTTGGAGATCCTTACACAACTGAAATCGTCATCAGGTCCTATTGGCGTGAACACCTGGTATGCCCGGACAATTTTGGTTCACAAAACGTCGAAATTGTGACCAGGAACGTCAAAGTTGAATTGAATGCCCAAAGAGGTGACGGACGACTTTGCTATGTCCTTTCACAAGCCTGTCTCTTATACACATCTAGATGTGTATAAGAGACAGGCTGTCAGCCAGGAAAGTTCTCAGATCAGCGGTGCTAGGCTCGTGGCGAAGGTGTTGGCTCGTCTGGGTGTGAGGTACATGTTCGGAGTGGTCGGGATCCCTGTGACAGCTCTAGCCAGCCATGCACAGTCTGAGGGCATCAGGTACATCGGGTTTCACAACGAGCAGGCGGCGGGCTATGCGGCGAGTGCAGTTGGCTATCTGACCGGGATGCCAGGTGTATTGCTGACGGTCTCCGGACCGGGATGCGTCCACGGGCTGGCCGGGCTCAGCCACGCTCAGGTCAACTGCTGGCCTATGGTGATGCTGTCGGGGTCCTGTGCCTCGAAGAACGTCAGCAAGGGTGATTTCCAGGAGCTGGACCAGATGACAGCTGTCAAGCCGTTCGTGAAGTATGCTGGGCGTCCGATTAACATCAGCGACATCTGCCACGTGGCAGAAGCTGCAGTGAAGCAGTCGGTGGAAGGCCGTCCCGGCGGCACTTATGTGGACCTGCCAGCAGATCTATTGCAAGGACACGTGTCGACAGACGAGGCAGAGGATCTCCTGCGTTCTATAAATAGCATCACGACCGTAAACAGCAGCAGCACCGGAGAGGGAGGAGGAGGGGTTGGGGTTGGGGGTGGGGGGGAGGGACCGTTCCCAGGCTTGATCCATGCGGCAGCAGCTCTGCTAACTTCAGCTGAGAGACCGTTGGTTGTCGTAGGGAAGGGCGCGGCTTATGCGAGGGCTGAGGCTGAGGTTCGCCAACTGCTGGCCACCACGGGAGCCCCCGCCCTCGCTACGCCCATGGGGAAAGGCATCTTTCCAGACTCCTACGATCGGTCGGCGGCCGCCGCCCGGTCGCTGGCCCTCAAGCAGTGTGACGTGGCACTGGTCATTGGCGCCCGATTGAATTGGATCTTACACTTCGGTGGTCCCCCCCGATGGGACGAGAAGGTGAAGTTCATTCTGGTGGATATAGACGCTGAGGAGATCAAGAAGAGAAATCCAGCCGTCGGGTTGGCAGGCGATGCGAAGACTGTCGTCCGTCGGATCCTCGATGAGCTCTCGAAGCTTGGTACGGCACCCCTGCTGGATTCCCACCCTTGGATCTCTGCAATCCAGGAGAAGGCGAGAGCGAACATGGGGAAGATGCAGCGAACCCTCTCCAAGGATGTGTTCCCGATGAACTTCCACTGTTCTCTCAGGGTCATCAGGGATGCCATCAAGTCGCTTGGCGCACCAGAACCCATCATCATATCAGAAGGAGCAAACACCATGGACGTTTCGCGGACCGTGATCGAGCACGAACAGCCAAGGACGAAGCTTGATGCCGGAACCTGGGGTACCATGGGTGTCGGGATCGGGTACACGATTGGAGCAGCCGTGTCAGATCCCAGCCGTCTCGTGATCGCCATTGAAGGGGACTCGGCATTTGGATTTAGTGCAGTGGAGGTAGAGGTGAGGATGATCCCTCCTCCCTCCTAGCCCCGCCCC